CAAAACAGAGACCAAACAGGTTTTCAAACTTCACATTCACCCTTTTCAAGCAGCTTATTTCTGATGCAGGTCTGATGAAAGGGAAACACAGCTGCAGGGAAGATTCACAAATAAGAAATTCCCTGAGTAGCAAACCCCAGCATCAGGTAGATCATCTCAGAGGTGAAGCAAGCCAAGGGCCCTAATAGTGACTTGGCCAGTTTCTCTCACAGCCTCAGAAGTGCTTCTACTGTGTCACATGCTAATCAAGCCTAATTATTTTGTTCTTGACACACATGACCTGATGATATTCTCAGTGCATTGAATGGTGATATCATCTCAAATCTATGTAAAACTTTCATCAGAAAATATCTAATAACAAGTATAACTATGTATTTTTCAACCCAGAAAGCAAAAGACTATTTTAATGAAAGAATATGTAAGAGTAATTGTGCTGTGATCAGAATTATGGTCCACATTGTTCTTGGAGGTGACAGAATATTAGATTTCTAGAGCCTCTTTTCAGAGAATATGAAACAAGGCAGGAAAAGAGTAAATCCTTCCTGGAAAGTCCCATGCAGAAGGTGGGACTCACCTCCTACCAGATTAATGTCAGCTATTTAGGGACATGGTGCTGGAGTTTATTAAGTATGATAATCTGCATGCAAACATAATTGATTAGCCAGTCTTTATTTATATCAGCATATACAGTAACTAAATACCAATCTCCAATCACTGAAAAACAAAACAAAACAAGCATGGTATTTAGTGAGTCACAGAACCACACAAGAAGGAGAATTTACCTAGTTCAATCTGCCAGATTGCTCAAGGTTTAGTCCAGTAAGGGAAGCAAACAGAGATTTCATAACATCTCTGGGCTGCTCCAGTGCTGAAGTACTTTCTAACCAACATATCCTTCCTTATATCCAGTTGTGTTTCAGCTTATGACCATTATCCCTCATCCTCCCACTGTGACCCAAGAGCACCACCATGCTCTTGGTAACCAGCTCTTAAGGTACTGTGAGACTGCAGAGCTCCTCATTTCATTACAGAAGGCAAGCTCATAGATCAAACACAATTTGCCTGGACTAAAACTGCCAAACACTTTCTTCACACCTACAAGAAGCCTCACTCCATTATTTTCTATAGGATAGTGGCTGACAAAGCTGCAGTACTCCAGACCTTCCTTCTTGCCCTTCTTGCAAATGGATAAAACAACAACCTTTCTCCAGTTATTGGGAACATCCCTCAATCTACAGTCTGTCAAAGATCACAGAGAGCAGCCTGACAATGACATCAGTTGGCTTTCCCAGTACACTCAGGCACATGGTGTGATTCTTGGCTTTGTCCTGGGCAAGGCCAGAGGTTAGACTCTATGATGCTTATAGAAACCCTTCCTGAGGTCAGACTGACAGGCCTGTAGTTCCCCAGATCCTCATTCCAACCCTTCTTGTAGATGGGTTTCACGTTTGCTAACCTCCAATCATCTGGGACCTCCCTAGCTAATCAGGAGTGCAGATAAATTATGGAGAGTGGCTTGATGAGCTCTTCTGCCAGCTCCTTCAAAACTCTCCCATGAATCCCATCTGGACCCATAGACTTGTGAGTCAGAATGGCACAGGAGGTCACTAACTACTTCCTCCTGGATTGCAGGGGCTCTGTTCTGCTCCCTGTTCCTGCCTACCAGCTCAGAGGGTTGGTGCCCCTGAGGATTATTAGTCTTTCTGTTGAAGGCTGAATTTCTTATGGCATTACTCATTAGAGGTTTAAAATACTTTATTTCTACTTAAGACTGACATATGGAGGAGAAATAAACAAACTCATAGACAGCCAAATTCACACCACAGGATCAAAAACCATTCTTCCACTTCATTCCATAAGAATTCCTAATATACTTTACTTTCCTCTGGAATTTTAATTAGATTTTAAAAAGAACGCAGGTATAGTGTTCAAGGACTATTTTTCACAGCAACAATTACTCAAGATGTAGTCTCCTCTATTATATATTCTCAATAAAGCCATTTCTTATAGCTCATCCATTTTTAATTTGATAAAGCCTCTATTTTCTGTTCTGCCTTTTCATTTGACCGCTGAGTCTTCTCATAAATGTTCATTTCCTAGCAGCTAGAGCACAATGAACAGAAAAGCAAACCACTGTTCATCTGAACAAAGACACTCCCACACAGTGAAGTATGTATGTCTGGGAGCCCTGCTATAGAAAAACACATGCCCACAGTTACTCAAAGATTCCACTTCAGCCGCAGTGCAATGCACTGGCAGACATGAATAGCCTTTCTTTTACCTTGTTTATTCAAGAACTATGATCCACTAGCCTGCTTTTAAGTATTTGATATCCTACAGTGAAGAGATTAAATAAGCCTGACGCCAAATGAAAAACTGCAGACATGGTGCTGTTTTTTTTGGTAAATTTATGAAACCAAAATCTGAAGGTCTTGCCCTTAGAGACTAAAGGGCCTTTGCTCTAGGATTTTACATTTATTATGTTAGCAAAGTCAATCCTATCTCTAACAGACACTGATTTCTTGATAGGTTCTCTCCTGTCTTGAGTGCATTTGAAAGCAAAGCAACCATCTTTCTAATTTTCACACTGCTCCTCACATAATTAATCAAGTATACAATCTAAACTGACTTCCCTTCTAAGCACATTATTGCAAATCAGTCATTTGTGGGAGAAAAACATAAAGAGAAATAGGACTGTATTTTACATCTTGTTTAAGAAGAGTCTTTCATACTGGGAAGGTGGAAGATGGCCTATAAAAATACAGCATTTAAATAAGTAAATATGCACAGGGGTGCACGAAGAGCACACAGGTGTGCTCTCATTTCTTATGCTCCCAATGAAAGAGGTCATGACCTTTCAGACTTTAACCTCAACACTTCTAATTTTTCATCTTGGTTCTCAGAACAGTTTTATCTCATCTGGTTTTCAGTTTTATGAGGTCATGAGCCATGAAAGAAAATCTAGCTTTAAAAAAAAAAAAAGGAGATATATAATCTTCTGTCCGTGTATAAGAGTAGATTACACAGATGTTTCTGTTATGTCAAGGTAAACTTAAATGGGAAAAAATATCTTCTGCACAACATTATACATTCATGTCTGTACCACTGTGTATTTCTTTCTGGTTGTACTTACACATTTCTAGTCTCTCTATCAAAACCATGCACAATGGTCAACCTTAAAGACCTGCCAACACAAAGCTGTGAAAATCCTGCCTTTCGTGTCATCACTGGGCTATTTAGCCTGGTGCTACAATGAGGCAAGAATTCATTAGAAGTGATAGATAGTGACATTTCCAACTACAGCAAGGTAGGAACAATTGTCCCACCCTGTCCTCTGTTCTGCAGCAACACCAGGCAACACAACCAAACAGAATCAACTTGTGTCTGAGTTGGACTTTTCATTCATTGGTTCCCACCTCCAGCAATGCATTTAATAGTGCTGGTAAAAGAAGGCTGTTTTTTTTGTTTTTTTTTTCCTTAAAAACACAGCAAAAAATTTGCAGCCTCCCTCTCCGCATCCACACAAGCCATAGAGCTTCACCAACGCACCCCTACACCAGAGGAAACATTTTACATACAAAAGAGTTTGTGCGATCTTTTATGGTTTCCAGCATCCACCAAAGCTAGAGAACCATTGTTACAATCTCCTGAAAAATGTATAATACGAGGATACTTGGAAGTCAGATTAGTTCATAAGGTTCTATACATATAAATGATACAACAAAACTATTAAACAGCACAACACCTTCAACAGAGAGTTAACTCATATTTCACTGCAAGAACACTGAATGATACACCTGTTTCATATCCTTAAGAGATGAAGCCTCATAGTGAAATGCAACATGCAGGAATGGGGTTTTAAGCATTTATTTCAAAAAACAGCAAGTTTTGAAAAATTACAGCAAAGAATCATATGTAAACCAGGAGACAAGTGCTTCTAATACTATTTCTCTAATTGCCTTAAAATTCAAAGGCCAATCAAGTCCTTGTGGACTGTGTCCACCTCAAGTCCTGTTTCCTTCTCCAGCATAGCAAATACACACTGAGCTGTTAATTGCAGTAACACTAATTAAAAGACAAAACCTCATGACTACATTAACAGTGAAATTGCCAATTAGCACACAAGGCTTCCTCATTACTGCTGCTGCATGAAATGTGAAGCATGATGTGGATAGCAGTCATAAAATAAAAGACATTTTTAAAAAGCCAATAGGTCACATTTTCAGCTTACTTCAAAAGTACTGCTGGAATCAGTAACTGAGAAGCTGACCTACAGGAAAGAAAGAAATTCCTACAACCTTTTGTGAAAACCAATAAAGAAAAATATTGCCATTTTCCACATCTGCATTCACAATGGTTTTCAGAGGAAAGAGTTCTTGCCTTGGTGTAGCCACTAGAATACACTTAAAAATTTAAAAATAAGCCAAAGGCTAAGATTTCAGCGGATAATTTATCCTGACTTCATACTCTATGTAAGGCTTCCCTAGAAAGAACTAATGGATACTGAAAGCAATCCGTGATCCTAGTGTCCTTTATTCTACAGAAGGAACACTTATTCTTGTGTCCTTCAGTCTATTTCAATGACCATTTAATGAAAGTTAATCCAGACCTCACAACCCTAGAGCTGCTTCCATAAAGTGATTGTGCTTTTCATAAAATCTGTATTTCCTCAGGTCTCTCTCTATCTTTTTCCTTTTTTTTTTTTTTTAAGGTTTTCTTTAATTCTAATTCACAGGTCTCATGGTAAATAAAATGGAAACACTTTCAGCAATATCTTCCTTGAGAGAACTGGAGTAGGTATTTGTTTTTCACTTGCTCCCTTTTAATCAAGCATTTTGTTGACCATAATCAATTTCTTCACTCAGGAGAAAAATGTGCAATTATCTACAATGAAGAAGGTGTGTCTAAGGAATAGGGTGGGTGGGAAGAGAAATCAATGGAACCATCTGTCTGACAATCCTACAACATTATAAGATACTTGTAATTAACTGCTTGCCTACCAAAGTCTGCCAGCTTTAACTCCCCCGTGTCACTGATCAGAAGGTTCTGTGGTTTCAGGTCCCTGTGCAAAATGTAACGCTGGTGGATGTAAGACAGTCCTCGCAGCAACTGAAATAAAAATAACTGAAAAAGAGGGGGACAAAAAATGACCTCTGTTAATATTTTGCATATAACCACAGGTGATTTCTTCACGATATGCAGGGTGCTTGCACATTGAGGTAACATTGTGTCAGAATTCCTCCCAAACTGGCTAATTCCCACCCAAATTTAACACAATGAAATTTCCACCTGAAATATACTTACTTTGCAAGGACTAAACCCAGCCTCCAAGCCCTACTATGTCAAAGATTCAATTTTACTTCTTTAAAAAGAACGAGAGCAATACAACCATGTGCAGAAAGCTTGGTTTCTACCAAATTATAATTATATTCCATTTACCCATATGGCCTTAGAGATTAGGTGGTAGCCTGAAGACAGATGTGTATCTTCACTAATTATAGGAAACAACAGCACAGGGTGGATAGGGATGGGGAGATAAGGCTGGGGGATGGAACACTGAAGCTAAAACAAAGAAAAAATTAATAGTATAACAATAATGCCCATGTACCCAAGGAAATCTGAAAGTAAAATAGATTTTATCCTTCGAAGTCTATTTTAATGGGAGTTTCTTATGTATTTTTCATTAGGAAATAATAACTCTCACTGAGCCTAAAGACAACTTTTGAAACCTACTTGCAATAGTCTTTAAGGTAATTTTAGATAGAAACCTAATTCACCATCTCCTGGTTTCTTAGAGTCCTTCCCTGGACTCTATAAATACTTACTCCTAAATCTAAGTATTACTATTGTGTACTCTGTAATTTACAATTATGAACAAAGAGCTGGATGAAGAAGATCCTTTGTCCTCCCCTTTTCATCTCCCACATGCATCATTTTCCCACATCTTTCAGACACTTGCTGTGAAGGGCTGTGTTAACAGTCATGGGTTTTGTCAATACAAAGGGTGAATGAACTCCCAGGAGTTTTCTCTGCAGTTTTGAAGAACCTATCTCAATATAGAGAGACCCTTCCTTTCGCCTGATATATTTTAAGAAATACTTCAGTTTCTAAATGTGAACACAAAAATCTCCTCCAAGCTAAACACGGAGGATGCAAGAGCAGGAATGGACTTTGTGCCTCACAGCTCAGAGGACAGCAGAACATGCTCTCTAGGAAGATGTGGAAACCACACCAAAGATTGGGGAAAAGTCAACGCAGGCACACGAGAATTTCTAATTAACTTGCAACACAAGCATCCTATTCAGTGATTACTGAAGTGAAGAGACATTATAAAAAGGGTTACAAAATCTGATTATAGAAGAGAATAAAGGCTGACATGAAAGAAACAGAAATGTCATGTTACTGAAGGTGAAATGAATTTAATTGCATTTCATTTTTTCCCTGAGTGCAGACACAATGCACTCTATGTTTAGCTATTTAGCCAGGGCACAAAGAGCCATATCAATCACCTTCTTGCCAGGGTAGGGTCTAACAACGTGCTGGGGAAACCTAAGAGCAAAATACAGGAACAAAGAATAGCAGGAAAGTCATAAGTAACATGCACATTCCTTTTTGAATTGTGGTTAAAGTGGAATTCATGGTACATAAAAACTATTTTAATAAGAGCAAGAAGCAGAAATGGCTTTCATTACAGTCTGAAAATATCAATTTAATTCTATTAAATTACTTCAAAAAAATACATTTTTTAAAATAAAAAGATGGGCAAAATAACCAGTTTGCCAGGCTAAATCAATGGCATTTAACTTCAAACACTATTTTTAAATATGCCAAGAAATTTCAATTATCATGGTAGCTTACAGCACTGTAATCTTTATAATAACTCAAAATATATGTATTAATGTCTTTCATTTGGCTTTGGTTGAAAGAGTCAAGTGATTTGACATAAAGCGCTAAAAAAAATGCCAAACAACTTCACAGCTAAACAGACTAAACATCTGCTCTTGAGGACAGCTTTGGAATGTAGTTTTATTCCAAATTTGTAGACATGCTGTACTCATTAAGCACTTCCTCAAAAGTTAATTAATTCACTTACACCTCCTTGGAGGAAACTCATGGAAGAGAAGGGAAAAAAAAAACTTCCTGAATTCATTATAGGGTAACTCAGATATTGTTTTTTTGAATTCTCTTTTTCTCTTTCCCTTTGTTTTTACATGGTAATATTAAATGTGAAAAGATTTACGTTAATACAAGCCTAACATCTGGCAGCAAAGCATTCTGCAAGGCACTGGCCCTTTGTGATTGCTTGGGACAAGAAAACACCAAGGGAGGCCTCTCCATTTCCAGCTGTTTCCCAGCCCACAAAAAGAAAAGATGAATTGAACACTTCTGCCCTCTCATAGTCAAGTTCACTCTCCTGATCTTGAGGAAAGCCTTCTCCAAGAAACCTGTTTTCTTTCCAGATTGTCTGCATTAACTTCTCAAGGACAAAAATGAATCCTAGATGAGGTACCATGAATTCTTAGCCATATACCCTGTCTGAAATCGACATACCTCCTATCATGGTCATACTCTCATCTTACTTGATCTTTCCACCACCTCACTCAATTCCAATCACCATGAAACCTCAGCCTGGGGTTTTTTCAGGGGGTTTTGAACAAGCAACAGAACGGCCATTTCCCATGGCCCCAGGATGGGAGCTGGAGTCATTGGCAAATTCAACATGTATTTCTACAGGTCAGTTGTGATGGTAAAATCACCACAGATTTGTAGCTCTTCAGCTTTTATGTTGGTAATTTTAATATTTGCATGGTCATACACAAGGCTGTATAGGTATTGAATAACCGGCAATAAATAAACTAAGACATCATTCACTAAGACATCGTTTGTGTACAGTTTCTAGCTTATTAGTAAGAATAAAGGTTTTGATAATAAAATTAGGCTCACAAAATGCCAAAGATCATTGTGGTGAGAGTTGAAAAAGACAGAAAACAGGACAGGGATTTGTCCCTAGAAGTCAGGTTTTCAGCAAAGCTTAATGTTAGGAAGCTCAACACTTTAAATTCAGACAAAAAGAAAACTAACACCTGTGGCTTCAAGTCTCCCTTATTTCTTTCAGTCATTAAAATATACCTTTTTTACCCAACCGTTATGCAGCTCTCACTTTAATGAGCAACATATTTTAATGAAGACTTTTCACACTGTCAGCAAGAAAAATGCATGCAGGTCAAAGCTAATTCAAGGTTTATGGACTGTGATATTAAAAGAACATTAGCAGTTCTTAAAACTTACAAGAGAAAGCCCTCAAAGGAGCGAGTTAGCACCTACATAGCGTAATGCCTGGATAACCATTTGAGCTATATGCAACATTTGACCAAATGCCCGTAGTTGTTTTAAAATACAGTATTTTCTGAGAGACTTGTAGCTCTGTGGATGAACAGCCCAGCTTTCCTTGTGCTTTAATGAGTCTGGGTGAGTGCACAACCTAGAGCCTTACATGCAGGCATACAATGGCTGCCTGGTGGCCTGCCTGCTGCAGAATGCTTCACTATCTGTTGGCCTCTGAACGAGCTTCTAAGTTAGACACTGACATAGGCTATGCAAAACAGATCTAAAGGGTGGGATTGAGAACAGCTGACACTGTCTGACTTAGGTTCAGAAAGCTCTTTCCAGTCTGAGGATGAAGTGGAATACTCATGTGCAAGTAATCTGTGTAAAGTATTCAGATGACTCCATACAGTTGCCCTCTATTGTCAGAGATGGTAGAGAGTTTCTGGCAAAGGACACTGGGGTAAGTGAAAAGCAGAAATTCACAACATGCCTAGGGAGATTCTCCAGAAAATGTACCATTTCCACACAGACTCTGCTGAGGCATGGAGGACCCCAATGACAGAAAGGATGCTTGCCAAGAGGACAGAATAATGATGCCTGTGGGAGCCTTTTTTAAGACTTTTTGTGATGGCAAAGAGGAATTTCTAAACTATTTTCTTCATTTGAGCTCCCTTAATTCATGTTGTATTTTGGGAACAGAGGACCTGGCCCAGGATACAGAAGTAGAAAGCTACAAAGAACTTTTTAGTTTAGAGAAGATGCACAAAACTCCTGGTTCTGTTCTCTTCATAGCAAAAGTCTGCAAAAAGGCCGAGATAATCTGGAATAGGAGTTAACATTATTTCAGAAGAAAGCTGAAAGCAAATCTGAATTAATGTGTCTTTCCTTTAGAAAGCTCATACTGCTCTGTTAGTATAGCTACTTTTGAAAAATAATACACAATACCACACAGGCTTTATTATCAGCCATCACTGATTACACAAATGTTCCTGTTTGCCCTATACATCAAAGAACACTGTCTGAGTATCACACAGTCATCTGAATTCCCAAGCGCATATTCAGCCTCAATAAAATTGTATTTAGTCTTATTACATCTTTAAATCTAAAAATACCAGTAAAAGAAACCAAACTTATGATATCCCATCTCATGCTTGCAACCAGTGAAGTTCTCCCTATCATCCAGCAGACAGTACAGACTTCTGTACATTATTGGCTATTTTAAAAACAAAAGGAGGTAATAAATCACTACAATGCCATCTCACAGCCTTGGAAATAAACACAACCAAACACATTACTCACTTCCATTTGGGCTCACTAGACTGTTCAGGAATCTTAGAATTACTTGTTTTACATTAGAAAAAAACTGCCTGGTAATATGCTCTATCACAGAAGCAAAGAGAAATGTCCCTCTGTGACTTCTGCTGGCATGTCAAAACCTCATCAAGCATAATTTTTTTTATCACTCTTGGTTTGCTATTCATTTCCCTCTTCTCAACCAGGATAATAACCATGAGATAAAATCCAACTTCTCACTTCTAACTATGACCTGGGGAAATACTGCACTTTTTAGGTCAAAGCTTCATAGACTGTTGCTTAAATTTTCAGAAGAAGTTCCAGGAACAAAGTACTGACTTGAGACAAATTTGCATCCCTATAAATAAGGAAAATCTGAATAAAAAAATTATTAGCTATTTTAATCTGCAGGATTTTCAGGATCATAATATTTATCTCATAAAAAGTTTTCTCCTATCTGCCTTCCCTGGAATCAACTGAATTCTCTCCAAAAGAATTTTAAA